CCTTTTTTTTTTTTTTTTTTAAAATCTAAGCCATAGATTATCTTCTAAGCGTAAAGCCTAATATTCGGTTGTCTATTTTAAAGTCCTATATAGTTCAACATTTGTAGCTCATATTCTTTCTCTCAAAATATTTCTTCATAAGAATTCTAAGAGGATGAGGATAAATTTCTATTACTTTTCTTTTTTTATTTCATGAATCTTAGGCATCCAGATCTCTTATTTTTTTACAATTAATAACCATGCTAAAATTTTTAATTCATCAATCTACATTGTTTTGAACATTAAATATTGTAAAATTATTTGTTTTATCGTTGTCTAATTAAAATCAAATTAGGACTTTGAAATAGATCCGGATAGTATCTCAGCCCCCGCTAAGCACGCATTAATTGAATATTGTCACAAATCTTTGCCTTATCTACGACATTCACAAACGCTGCACCAACATGGTTACACGATCGCGACAATGACAACGTTCGATCGTCCAAACTGTACTCCAACAATCGATAAGCTATTTTTTCATTTTCAACAAACGATGAGAAGGATGTTTGGACGACGCGTTGCGAGACGATTGGCTACTTACTATAAACGATTGTCAGGGACGGACAGTGAGGTTGTTCAACGTAAAACGTCGAAAATAATTGTCACGTGCACGGCCGATCGACCACGAGTGACTTAAGATTTCATATCACGCTCAAGTCACTTGTGTCCTGTAATTTAAAAAGAAGTAAACTTGAAACAGAAGATAATTATTTCTTAGCTTCCATTGGTATCTCGTAATTCTTCGTAGAAATATTAAAGAACAATCAATCGAGGAGAATACAAAAAAATGGACAACGAAGATGATACTTTGATAGATAAAAAAAATGCAATTTTTTGGTAAGTATTGAAAGTAAAAAATTCGAATAATAAAATAAAATGCATCCAATAGGATACGAATATTTTCCTATGTGATTTTTTTTATCATGGAAGAAAAAATGCCGAGTAAATAAAACGATCTTCCAATTGAGATAAACGATTATACCCTTTCATTCCACACATTTGTTTCAACGAAACACTATTCTCTAACGCTATTCTAATGTCAACGAACATCACCAAATACAAGTAAAAAGTAATAAAAAGATATCTCAACGATCAAGCATACTCGGGTTATTTGGGAGTTAATAATAAATGTAAAATTATAATATATAGATACACATCTCTGAGGTATGATCAATTAACCCATTGTTCTTGGTTAGTTAATCAACCAAAAGCCGTCAAGGATTCGACTAGATTTTTGGATGATTTTGATTCGAATTAACTTTGACGAGGGTGAAATGACGCGAAGAAAATCCGAGAGGAATGGGCTAATTGAATAATGATCTACGAACGCGATATCGTCAACACTTTATTTTTTTCGCCTAAAAATGCTTAACAACGAGTATAACGATTCTGTCCCACGAAATATATACATACATATGTATATACATATGTATATACACGTACATATGTATGTATACAGATTGCGAGAAAGCTCTTAATGTTTATTGCTTCATCTAATCTATAGTTAAATCGCGAGTACGACCTCGGCACTTAGCCATTGAATTTTTCTGGGATTTATCATTTTGATGATGAATCGATCGAATGTATTTGCAATTCTTCTTAATCTCAATGAAACAACTTGAAAATAACATCCTTTGATTCATCATTAAATTTGAAGCTATACATATATATATAT